AATTTATAAACAAAGATACCTGTTTTGTTGCAATTCGAAATACTTCAACAGTGAACATCTATGAACCCATGACGTGATCTTGTGCACAGTGAGAATCCTTCACAGCAATCAGAATCCAATGAGATATACATGCATATGTAGTTACTTCGCAATGCAGTACAAACACATTTGATATGTTGGTAACTGTGACATATTCGACATGGTTACCTACATTACCTACTGTCTGCTATTAGAACAATTGTTCAACAATCCCCATTTTCTGATAACTTGAAGGCTGATGTCAGTCTTTGAAAATCATTATTATTGTACAAAAATCCCAGATAGCCACCTAAATAAATTCTATTAATCCTTACATAAAACATGAAATAGCAGATAATCTTATAAAGAATAGCCTCAGGACAATGTTTTTTTTGTTGGTTATTTATTATGAATGTAAATTGTTATCAATATACATTATTATAACTGGTGATACCTAAGTTCCTACCTGATGTATATTTCAATCATTGAACCTAATCGAAAAAAAATTGTCTAATATGAACTAATCGATAGAAGTAGATGTATACCAACTCCATATCGATTTTCTTATCAAAAAACAAATAATGAAATTTTATAAAATATTAATGATTAAAGGTGAATATCTGTGATTATTACAGCTTTATAAAGAATTATTCAACATATAACACAAAAACGCGAATCATTTAATAAATAAGTAAATAAATAAATAAATTTTCGTTCTAAGAATTTATTTCATACTCATAACAATAATCGTAATTGTCAATAGAATTTCTATTTATTTTATGAATTATGATTGTCAGTCAACAACATTCTCAGTAAGAAAACAAATTTTTTTCTCTCCAGTAATCAAGATACTGAATGAACAACCTGAAAAAGTAAAAAAAAACTCTATCCAATTTAACATTTATGATAGAATATAACATCACTTTAGGACAAGAAATGAACACATTTAAACCGAGTACATTATGTGATGAATTTCGACAAAAATTTCAGAAGAAAAAACTAGGTAGTAAAGAGTTAAATTGTAAGACACGTTTAATAAACATTTATAGTGTGAATTTCTACTCAGTAATCAACGATAACAGTAAGTTGAATCTTAAGGGATGCGTCATTTCACTAAAAATTACAGGCAAATGTTAAACAGCAATAAATCTAGGTCTAGGGTTTCAAGTTGAATACTATCAGCCACACAATACTTTAATATAATGCAAGCGCTACCGAGTCATATAAGCTAGTAGACACATTGCAAACTGATCGATAGGATTCGATTAGTGCTAGAGGACTATAGAAATATGATATTGGTCACTACTATGTGATTATTCAATTTAAAAGAATTGATGTGAATAAAAAAAATCCAGTCCATTCTACTGTGTAACCTGGAGAAGGCCTTTTCGACCTTGAGTATGCGAATGATATTGTTATACTGTGTGATAATACCCAAACCATGGAATCTATACCTAGTCAGTAAGCAATTAGTGTCCGTAGGTATGGAATGTGATTTGCACCTTCGAAGTGCACTCACCCTGGGTAGTGAGCAGATAAAAGTGGTCGAGAAATTCGTGTATCTGGGTAGCTGCTTTTGGTGGCGTAAGCGATGATATCGATTCATGTATAATGAAAGCCAGGGAGGTTAACGCCAATCTGGGTGATCTTTGGCGCCTTCGTGATGTTAGTCTGATTGTGAAAGGTCTCACCTAGAACGCGTCGGTGAGAGCAGTCTTGCTTTATGTTTGTGAAACCTGGCCTCTCCAAGTTCAGGATGTTAGACGATTCTCTGTGCTTGATCATCGTCTTCTCCGAAGGATTGCTGATAGCCAGTGGTAACACCATATTGGTAATGCATAGGTTCAGCAATGTGTTCTGCCACGGCGACAACTCGATTCACCATCTTGAAACACAGGCTTCGGCATGTATAACAAATGTCGTCCCATCGAATTCCATATCATGCATTATTTTCCGATGCTGGGACTGATTGGAAAAAGCGAAGAGATGGTCAGCGCAAGAGATTGTGCCTTGGTATGAAAGCAGTACAGAACTGGCTTCTATAGTCCTTCACGACCCCTCGGTTGGTGTTTCAGAGATGACGCAACAGTGGCTAGAAACGTTACCAGACATGGCTCAGAATAGAAGTAAATTGCGGCAGTGCTGTAACATTCTTTATATAAGTGAGAGGAATTTCTCCAACTGAAAGAATCTTTTCGGATATAATTTTCTCATCTCATCTTTATCATCTATTTGTAGAAAGTCAATTAACTTTGTTTTTGAAAAAAAACGGAAGAATAAAAAAGATTGTTCGTAGTTAAACGACCACTTAAAACTAGGAATTAGTGGATAGCTTTTTGTCTTAGTATGAAACCGCTCAACAGTATGCATCTATGATACCATCAAGTATTGAATCCAGGAAATTCAGTCTGGTGTAAATACAATTTGTCAAGTTTGTAACATGATGAATATCATGAAGATTGTGAAAACATTTAGTGCTTTTTTATTTATAGCAAAGATCCATTTCTTTCTTTATTACTGTCAAATAGTATGACAAGCTTAAATTAGTTCGATTTTCAATCACTTAGCTGTCAATAATGTACAAACAATTTGCGTTTGTATAGCTTCTTAACCCCCAAAGGAAAGACGACCCAGTTCTGTTTAGAATTTCATGAAGATCCAAGTCAAAGTAATACTGGCAATTGCCTCACACCATCTAGCATCGAAAAATTCGCTTTCCATCATTTAGCCACCATCTTAGTTGATCACAGTCCAACCTTGATCGACAGAAGACAATTAATAACCAAAACCAATCGTGATACTGTTTACTACCCACTTCTAAAATAAAAACATTATATGAGATACAAATGCTTCATCCAAGAATGGTCACTAGTAAATAACTTATCATCAGAATGGGTTTTGTTTAAGTTTATATACATCAATAAAATTAAATGAATCAAGTCAAATAACCCATTTATTTCTAATCACTTTCAATAGTTAGCGTTATTCTAATCAGTTTTATTAAATTACAAAACCAATCAACTTTAAACAAAAATTTATTAGTGAATCATAATAATTTACTTTAAACTTATATATAAATATATTCCCTAGAAATAAATTTAACAGAAATTGTGCGTCTATTTCATTTAAGGTTAATTAATATATGCATGTTGCAAGAAAATAAAAAAGAGATGAACAATATAACAGAACAATTATATAACAAGATAGAAAAAAAAGTATAAACAAAATGAGAAATAAGAGAAAATGCAACATAAACAAACAATAAAGAGGTTGATTTAAGAACACCTTCATGTTGTTTAATTTTAATATTTGCTTATATTTATTTATATCCACGATATGCAAATGTTAGTATCGTGTAGAAAGTAAACAACACAACTTTTATAAATAAAACATGAATGAGAGTAATTAGAAAAAACTTCAAGAATTAAATGCATTGCTGATGATCATAGTAGAAAGAGAGAACAAAGAGAAAAGAATATTCCATCAAAATAAAATGATCAATTAATCATTTAATTTACATTATCTTGAATTAATTACATTCAATATCTTAACACAAAATAGAAAGTACATTCAAAATATATGATCATGATGAAAGTTTTCTCTTTTCAGAAAAAAACCAATAGTGTAAAACAAAGAATTAGAAAACATACATTAAAAGAACTAGGTGTTTTTTTTTGTTGATCAACCGAGATATACGTAAGATATACACAGGATTACAATAACTTACTTTGAACATACATAGTTATTTTACAAGCACATATGGAGACAATTAAATAAAATTAAGTTCAATAAACACCTAAACAGTACGAGTAAAATATAAAAATTATCAAATGTAAATACATGAAAGTATGACAAAAGAAACAAGAAACGAAATTAATAACCATTTATTGTAACGAATTGCTGATGCTGATGTTTAAAATCATTGACTATTATCTTGTCGACCATTCACAGACAATTCCATTCCATGTTACATAAATATTGACAAAAATGCGAAATATTTTCATATGTGAATGAAACAATGCAATCTCCTCTCAAGATGATAAATCATTTCGTACACAAACGAAACCAAACATTAGTATAAGTATTTAAGGTTTATATTAAATTACAATGATATCACTTCACAAAAATCTCTCATTATTGCTTATCAGTAGAAAAAGGCAGAGTTTTAATGGCTTTATTACTTTGTAATCAAGAAAGTGAAACTGTTTCACGTGTATATACTAAACATACACCGATACATGTATTATTACACGGATAGTAGACTACATAAAAAGCTACACAAATATATATACATGAAAAAAGAGAATAAAAACTTACATGCTAAAAATTATTTGAGGTAATTGGAACTTTTACGGTAGATAAGTAAAAAATAGCTCTAAGTAACATAAGCGTAAAAATAATGATAACAATATTAGTACTAATAATATTGAATAATATAAGAAGAATAAATATAATTCATGATGATAATCTTTTGGTGCAGAAGTACGAATATCAATGTTATCATTTTGTTTAATTGTTTTATATATGAAAAAAGAAAAACGATTTTATGGAGACAAACAAAATCAGTATAATCTAACTGCTTAATAGGCAATTTAAAATTTAATTCACATTGTATGTGCTATTCCAGTCGTGAACTATGGAACAAAAGAACGAATAGGGGAAAGGAACAAAGATGAAGAGATATGCAAATAAACAAATAAGTAATGTGCACTTAGTAAAACACAAATGTCAATTTAAAATAAAATAAAAATCTACAAAGGGAATAGTAAATAATAAAAACCAATAGAAAGTAAACAATGGGAGGTAGAAATGATGACAAAAGATTGCGAAATAAATTAGACCAACAGTAAAATAGGTAGGTGAATGTAATATAATATAGAAATTAAAGTATCTTCATTGAAGAATATCATAATATATCGATTGAATAGATTAAGATTGTAGACGAAAGCGAGCAAAATCTTCAAATAATAAATCATCTTCACTTAAGGTAGACTGTGTGCCAACAGTAGATGGGCGTCGAGCTGATGGTCGCAAACCGGAGAAAAGTAAATGAAAATTACGATCCCATACAGGTGGTGAATAGGAACAAACGCTTTGTTTACAAATTGTGGTGACTGGGTTGAATCACTATAGAAAAAAATAACGAATGAACACCAGACTAATAAATGTAAGCTGGATTATTAAAGTAACTTTCTATTACTGTAATAATACGATGTAATATAACTCCTTAGAACCCCAAATACCCTGGTACGGTCGAGGGTAGGTAGAGTCAGCTCTCCCATTCGCAATGCTCTAATATGTCCACGCATATACAACCACTATCAGGGAAGTCCTACCCAATGCGTCCCGCGAGTGGAAGTGTTGTATAGGAAATCGAGAGGATGAAAAGCGAGTTTTCGGCCTCTAAACCAGGTCGGTGGACATGGAGGATCCAGCTAGGGGAGTCAGAAAACCCTATTTAAAAACCAATCTTCTACATGAGGAAACGAATGGCGTATCAACCCATTGTTGGTCACCGTCTACCATGAAATTGCATCTCCTAACGTTGCTTCACTGCCTTGCGGATTAGATCTCTAGGTCAAAGGCTCTGAAAGTGTCCCTCTAAGAAAACCACCTGCTTCAGTTTGGGCGTCCGGGTAGTATTCCATCCCTCGTATGAATCGAGTGATGAAGTGTGGCGCATATATATTTGGTGCCTTCATGTACCAATCTTTATGTATTTAAATAAAATAAAAAAACTCCTTTAACAAGTAAAGTTTTATGTATTCGGCCTTCCATAACACTTTATTTGAAGATTAGTTGCGCTGATCTTCTGCTTAAAATAAAACAAATGTTAAAGGGTTCATAACTGTGACTAATTATGGATGGAAGTTGAGTACTTTAAATGCTGATCCACTGTATTATAAATAACATAACTGAGAAAATTATTAGGAACTATGGCGAACTGAAAAGAGTTCCAAACTCAAACGACACAGCTATATATGGTTCCAACTGGTGTTTAAACAATCTGTAGTACTAAATTTCTAAAACTGTACAAATCCCCACAAACCACTTATTCTAATGTCCAGTAGTCTTTTGATGTATAACTTGTAAACAAGCACTGGGAACAAAAAAAGGTTAAAATACCAGAAATATATGTGAAATAAGTTAACGCTATTCAATATAGAATAGGTCTGACACTATTCAACTAATGGAGCAAATAGTGTATTACAATGTTAGCATCATTTATGTATGTAACTTATTAACGGATAAAGTTTTATTTCTTTTACTAAATTACAACCACAATAGATAAAACCAATAAAACGAAACACGTACTCACTGAACAATATTACTATCAAATAAATGAAAATTTTTAATATTTATCAAGTCACCTTATAAAGCAATTAACTAAATTAACCTAGATCTCTTTACTCAACGCATGATTGCGTAAGCTAGACTCAAAAAATACATTAATAACAACTAGTATTAGGATACTTTTCACTACAACTTTAAACCAAGGTCGTAAGTTAAATAAGGTATGATAAATACGTTGTAATAGCCCCATGAGACATGATATTAACGACTACCTTCTTAGATCATGGGAAAGATTTGTAGTTTAGGTGAATGATGGCTTAATCAATTAGACTAATGAGCTCCAAGAATGAAAATGAACTAAAATCATTACTTTTTTTATTCTAATCATAACAATAATGGAGGAATAGAGTAACGGAATCCTAATTAACCTAGTAATGCACACATATGAAAAACCCTGCAATATCATATATGACTACTGTCAACTCGTGTGTTAGGATGTAAAAAATGAAAAGAATTAATTACTAAAAACTCACTTCATACGACGATTTGCATCACAATGTTTAGGATCGTTGGAATTATTTTGTTGAGAATTCAGGGAAATTGGATTAATTTGTGGAACAGTAGTATTTTGTAAACTTAATGGAGTTATATTCATAAGAGCATTTGATTGTCTGATTTCCGATGTACCTGGATTGACTTTAGCATTTCCCAAATTTAGTGAATTTCCTTTATTTGGTGTTTTTTCAATTAATGATGGTTCACTTGTGATTGATGAAATAAGTTCATCATCTTGTCTATCGCCATTCATGTTAGAGGAATCTGGATTCGGATGTGTTAAAATGAATGGCAGCTCCAAACAAACATCACTGGAGAAACATAAAACAGACATGATATTAGTTTAAGCTAAGTGACCGGAACCTAAATATAGAAGTTTTATAGTACACTTAAAGCAAACATATTAGAATTCAGAGAACTCGGTACGAGCGCATGGCTTTGTAACGCACTCGTTTTTCAATGTTGATTGTGTGCAGTATCAAGTAATTCCAGCCATTTCTCCGTTCATTTAGTGTATGAGTGCTGTGAGTAAAACCGTAATTTACACCGACGATTTCTTTTCAAGCTCTAACTTTCACTTTACCTGTTTTCAACATCCGACAGATTAAGATGTGTTACGGTGTCGTGTTCACAGAAGAAATAACTAGATAGGTTTAAATGATTGGAATGAAATCCTCAGTGAAAACCATCATCTTATGTGCACCACTTACTCCCGAAATAAAAGGAAAACAGGTCGAAAATGTTAGATAATGTACTTTTATTGGACACTGAAAATGGGGATGTTAACCTGACAGGAATTCTGATTAACGTTTTAGTTTAGCAACGTTTCCTTCTACGGAGTGGGGTCGCTAACGCCAGTACCGAAACTGTTCGTTTATCTGGACTTGGAATTGAGAGTAACCCTAGAAAAGCTGCAGGCAGTATTTCTTTCACTAATCACTCCCGAGTTAATAAAATCTGTTATGAATATCGATGTAATAATTATTTCCTGATTGTGACTATCAAAACAGATAAATTAACTAGATTGTAAGCAATACAGTAACATGAAGTTGTCGAAACAGTATTGAGAAAATCATCGGATATAATCAACAGCCCAATAAGTAGTACTATTCAGATCACATATTCTAGAGGTTTAAAATGATTGAACTAACCAACTTATTATTATTCTAAACAGATAAACTGATGGAATATAAGTTGAGAAATATAGTAAAAAAAATATCAGTATGTAATTCTTCAAGAAGTTGTTAATAAACTGTAAGGAAAGTATCACGTAAATTAAAAAAAATAAAAGTGATTCATGAAATGCACACTTAAATGTACTTTCACAAGTCCAAACACCATGGATATATACATATAAACAGTAGTAACTTGAACTATCAAGATAAAAGTTAATTTAAAAGTACATTCTTATGAGAAGTATGAGATTTTACAACTGAATTTCAAAAATGTAAAATAAAAAAAGGTGTAATTGAAAAAATCCTTAAATCGATTGTAAAGTATTTTGTATTCATATTCAGTAAAGTACACTAGAAAAAATGAAAGATACTCTTGTGTATAAAAAGAGTAATGGCTTAAAGATTTGAAAGCTTTCTATGAAGGGTAGTTATAAAACATTTTATAACACGTGAAGTTAGAAAAATCAGAAATGAACAATCACTCACCAAATTGATTAAACATAATATGAAAACTACAAAGGCTGTATTCCGATTTAGTGAATATTTTTAAAAGAAAGCCCAATGAGTGTATAGATATAACTGTGTTAATGATGCCACCACCAAATTAATGTGACCACTTCAAATAAGGAGAAAAGGGAAACATCGATGTCAGATGAAGGGCTCATAGCACCAACAACATTCCAGTCCGAAAAAGGATAGATTGCAATTAAACTGGATAATAAAGCTGATTGATTAGGTGTTTAAACTACCTAAATAGTTGACAAACTGAATTAATTTAAACAAGGCTAGTTCACACAACAACTCGAAAGTTAAAATTTTGCAGAATAAAAACAAATAGATTATTACGCGGGAATACACTCACCTGATGCCAAATCCAAGGACTAATCGTATTTTCACTTTGTACTGTACAATAATTCCAACTAATTCTCGATTAGTTGAATTAAGAGGTGTACTGATAATAAAAGGTAGTAGACAAAAATGAGACTTTGTTAGCAACATATAAAAAGGGTTCAAGTGAATTGCTACAATATAGTACCATGTGTAAATAACAAAAAGTAGTGTGGTAAAAAAAATTGAAGTAAATAACAACGAGACTTTTAAGATGCTGAGTAAATTTTGCAATTAACTGAAATGAATTAATAAGATGTCTTTGCTATCTGAATACTTTAAACAAATACCAAGCTACCACAGATAAATTGATCATGTTTAAAAATTGAATTCCAATTTGAAATTCATTGTTTCATGTTTTTACTAAAATAAAAAATGTTTTTAAATAACATGCTGTATGATTTTATTACTCATACATAGACGCCCAAATTAAAGCGTTAGAAAAAATTGAGCTCAAAAAAAACATTTATTACTGAGGTTAAGAAATACTAATTGCATCCTGAGCACAGATAGGCAATCACAATACCTGAAATCACATAATCTTTTCCACGGGTAATCGGATAAAAAAGAACTCTTCATGAATTTTATTCAGTGGAGTCTGTAATTTTGAAATTGTTCAACTGACGATTTCAGTTTATAATCACTACTGCTGGTTTTCTGAAAACATTTAAGAATCTGACAATCTATATCTTGTGATTCCATTAAGATACGTTGGTGTAATAAGAAATATTACTGAAACAAAATGTCAACAGTACAGAATTATTGATATAACGGTGACTTAAAATTTCTTTCATGCTTATTTATAAAAACTACGAAATTCGGAGGAACATACTATTTAGTCAAGAGGTGGAATTTAAACTACAGTTAATAACTGAAAATTAGAACTATATTAATCAAGAAATGAAATCAATGAAACCTCAAAGAATAATTTGCTTCATCAGAGATCAGGTTGAACAACCTTTGATGTCAAAGATACAGCCGTAAACATGTGATTTACATCAATTACGCATTGAAAATATGTCATTCTGAAGTTTTTGTATCCCCATAAGTTGAAATCCACATCAAGCAGATTAACTATATAGTCCAAAAATAGCAAATCACTTTGAGAAAAAATAACATTTAAAGAAAAGAATCTTATGGGTCAACAAAGCTAGAAACAAAGGTCATAGAAGTTTAAGCTACGAAACAATTACACGTTCCATAATAATATTCTTTCTGTTATTGATGCCATTGGTGACACTAGCAATCTTGTCCATATTCGAACACTATTTGATATACGAACAAATATGATGCATAACTAATTTTTGCAGATGATAAATTTATTTAACCGCATTAGCAGCTGAGATATATTCAATACTTTTCTACAACAAATCTGTAATACATTTTCTAAGATTAAATAAAATTTTCTTCATAAAATTGAAAGGAGTGATTATAGAGTTTTAAAAAAATCAATTAAATTTACATTGTGGAAGATGCTAGATTAGTATCTTCTTGTTTTAAATCTCCATCCATTGCAACACCAGTTTTATCTCGATTATAGGCTAACGTTGGACACAGTCGATAAACTTTGCACCAGCCAGTTTGACTAGGTAGAATAGGAAAGCGTTCTCTAAACAACATTCCCAAACACAAAAAAGTAGTAATGAGAAAAAAAGTATGAGAGAGTTAAACAAACATATGAAACGTCAGTTTTCTTTGTACAAGAGTTAGTTAATTAGTCTAACTTCAAAATTAGCGTTGTAGCTGATCATGCAACACGTATACTCTGATCCTTCAAAAAACTCGTTGGTTCAATTAGATGCTTAAAAATGCTGCAGTCAATTTATACGGTCAGTGAATAATAACTATCGATTGAACAATACAATATTTTAGATTTATTTTGCATTAATTACAATAAACTTACCAACCGATAAAACTCCAGCAGCGATTCAGGTTGAAGAAGCAAAACTTAATAACTGGCAACGAATTTTAGGTAAGCATTTACCCCAGTAAAATAAACGAACAAAATTACTATGTTCTAAAGATTACAATAGAATTAGACTCGCTTACAAAATATAGATTGATGTAGTTAACAATAATTCAAACCGTCTCTGTTAAAAGCTACTAATAATTCTCAGTTGTAAGTCCAAAAAATTCTGTTCCAGGTGCGTCGATTCAAGCAGAGAAGAAATAACAAATTGTTTAACTTAAATCTCTACACGGAAATGTTTTTGGTCACTGAGCTATCATTCTGAAATAAGTACCTCAAATAATGACTAGAAAATAACTAGATAAATATTAATTTAGCGCTTTAATTTTTTCGGATTTATAGGAAAAATGTCAATGTTAGGTAAGTAAATAAAACTATCTATACATCTAATTTATTGGATAACATTTTTAAAAAATCTCACAGAAGTTAAAAAGTAATTACAGTAAACAATTTGAAACCCTTGTGTTCCATTCAAATAAAAACGCCACAAGAAATAGTTGTTTTTCGTTTGATGAATAAAACAATAGTTATAAGTTTCATGACACAATGGACAGTTACGTAATTGTTTCATTCATTTCTTTTACTATCTTTTTATTCAATCTATAAATTCATCATTTATTGTAACTAAATATACTGTTATCTTTATTTCTAATCAACATTTATTATTGGAATGAATATGTACGCTTGACTTATGCCTATTAACCTATCAATAGTTGTATATGTTAAATTTTGGTGATCATCAAATTACGCAAACAACTACGTCCATTCAAAGAAATATTGGATGTTGAGCTGGCCGAAATTAAAATACGTCATAAAGTTAGAAGTGATTTCCTATATGATATAAATGAAAGTGAATAGACTGATTAAATGTTTAAGCAGTCTCAGTGTCGATTAATTATTTGGACATATCATCGACATACCTGTCTGCTTAAAGTCAACGGATTAATGATCGTTTTCAGATTGTTAATCTTGGTATATATCTTTATATATTCACTGTTGACAAGCTAGCAATTAAAAGAGACTATTATTTACATATAATTATACGAATACAAATAAAACGGATCTCAAAATTCTTACTGAGTAATTAAGAAATTGATTGTTCGATGTACTTCAAAAGTACAGTTCAGTAATGAACTACATCGACAGATAGATGAGATACCATTCACGTCTTTGTTCATTTTGTTAAGATCTAATGTCCTCAAAACCAATGTCGAGAATAACAGTCTCACAAAGATCAATAATAAACTGAATTTATACAAAGAGGTATAAAGATTACTAAAGGAAACATGAAATCTGATGCTAAGCTACTTGCCAATTGACAAGCTTATTGACACTGTGTTATTCTACGGCTGTAAAACATGACGACTAAAAACAAAATATTCGTCTAAATCACGATTATTTCACAAATAATTGGAATAACCGTTAAGGTTAAATTAGTAAAAAAAAGGCATGTTGGCAATGAAATACATTAGCCAAATAGGTTGACGATTTATCTCAAAAATCATATTTAGCTAGAAATATAACTAAAGATTAAAAACTGGAAAGCTCAAAGGGAGATTGTGAAATAAAGCAACCATCCTTTTGAAACTAGTCATATAAATATGAAGCCAAACATACTTATGAAGTAGTTATTTCATAGATTATTTGCTGTCTATCTTTTACTAAGAATGTAAAGTAAAGAATTCCTTCAACAAAGTGTAATTATACATAAGTGCTTACATCTGAATGACTACAAATTTTGATAACATTCACACCGACGGAACACAATAAACAAATTGTGTAAAACAATAAGACCATAATCGAAACTCAAGTATGTCGAGAAAAGTGTAAAAACTGATAGCGAACGGATTGAAAACATCAATTACAAGAAAACAGAAAATAAACTGTCTTTGAACATGGAATGTTAAATAATCACTGACGTTCAGAATAAATATATACACATATAAAAAGCAAATTAAAGTATGCAGACATTCAGCAACAAAATATTTTAAAAAATATACAAAACCTTAAATACTGCGATAAGTTAAAATAACTCATGTTACAATTTATGAGTAGAAAACAAGCCAATCAGCCAAACTACTTACTCCGACTGAATCTCGTCAACCGAACATTTGAAGTGAATAGGGCTTTGCACATAAACTTGAGTATACTGTCGAACTGTGAAGAAAAAAATGAGGGAAAAGAAAAACACTTATTTATTTTGTGTTCCAAACATGTGTATGCATTCTCGAAAATTGCAACAGACTATATTTAAAGATCTAGTGTATTAAATGGATAGATTTTAATAAATAATAACAAAATTCCTTTTGGATTAGCTTTCGCAAATATTTCTACTACTATTACTATTGTCATGTTTTGTAATTAGTAGACTAGTCATTGTAAAATTTGATTATTTATGCCGAACAATTTATACGGCAGTCAACAAATTAGACTATCATAAACAATATTGGATCTGGTAAGAACATGGACTAGTGTAAGTTATCACAATTTAAACCAACACAATGAGTGAAGAAAGTCACAATATGATACGTGGAGGAAGGAAAATAATATCAAACGTAACAGGAAGCGAAATGAGAAATACAGTTTAAAATGAATGAAGAGTGAAAAGTACGAGATGATGTTGAGATTAAAATTTGAAGTAGATAAAGAATAAAAACAGTTGGAACCGAACATCTCATTTAATGTCTGTAATCATTAAAAATTACGGTCCTACTCCCCAGATGCCAACTTACAAGACTGGAATATAAAAATACGATCCGATTGAGCAGACAATGAATTCATATACCGAAACATTATGTAAGTTTTAAGAATGGTTGATTGGTAGAAACTTGATTCTGAACTACTTTTAATCATACTCAATTTCAACTACTCATCTTTTCAACCAATGAACTTAGAAGAAAGACCAAAGCGAGAATTTTTGATTTAAAAAGTAAGATAATAAACATAAATATATAAATTTAGGATATGATATATTACAATCCACGTATGAAATGAGAAATCACATGTTATCTTTTCGTAAATATAAAGAAATCATCTGACTAGAGTAAGAAGGTTATCAAATTATTCACAGAATAAATGGCATTTTATCAACATATTATTTGGATGAAAATATTAAATAGATAAGAAATTATTAAATAGATAAGTGTTAAAAACTTCAGAATCAGCCTAATGAAGAGATATTACTACACAAATGGAAGTCTAAATCTACTATCATAGTTGTTGTCGTAATTACTATCTCCCAATCCTCCTATCTACAAAGGTAACCAACATATCTTTAAATAAAATTTGAAAAATATTATCTGACAACATAACACTTCCAAATGCACTCTAAAAACTTTAGTTAGTCGATATACAATCACACCGTAGTGATATTATATAAGTGAAGTTTGACAATAACTTGGAAAGATAATCTTCTTTAAAAAGAATGAACTACTAAGCAGTTCAAATTCGAATTAATCATGTAAACTTAGTGTGTAAATTATCTAACTTAAATACTGTTTAAATAATGAGAAATTATCATGCACTATGGTGTTAATACTGAATTTATAATATAAGTAATCATAGATAACATGTTGGCAAAACAGTAATATATTTGATAGAGTGAATGTAGACGAAAAAATTGAATATATTTATATAGAAATAATAATAATCAACTGTGAATGAAAATAAAAGATACTACTTGAGTTAATTAAGTACAATAAACAAACGAAAAAACATGTCCTTATTATACAAAAAGAAATCAATTGTTGTAAATTACAAACATAGACTGATCGAAATAATAAAATCCTTGATTTAAGGGAGAAAAGAACAGTTGATTCGAAAACAATAAAAAAGTGACAGGTTCACACGAATAATTGTATATACTAATTATGTAAAATGTTGCCAATATTTACCATTATTATTCGTAGGTATCACTACTAAGGTTTAACTTGATAATTTCGAATAAATTGAGCATTGGGTAGATTGTTGTAAATAAAGAATATGGAATTGTAGTTGGAGGTAGTCAACAGGAAACCCTAGACCCAGGTTTCGTGCTCTTTGGCACTCATCGGCAAGGTGTACCTGTAATCTTGAAGGAACTGGTGCTCCCTGATGGATTCGACCCCATGTCACCCAGCTTTACAGTCAGAGACGTTACCACTAGGTTATCCGGGCCGCGACCGATCTCCTGTAGGACTGAGATGTATTCACAATTGAGTAGAAAAATTAGATTTTCTACTCATTGGGATATTGCAAATATATTAATCATTATTATTCGTAGTAATAGTATTATTATCAAAATTTACTAACCTGACAGTTTAACACGTTTAATTGTTTTATTCGAATTATTATCCACAAGTAAATTGACAAAAATTTTCTCTCCATGGAAATATTTCTAAATACAACGAATAAATAATAACAATAAAATTATAGATGAACAGAATGGTATACTCTGTTGATAGACTCTGAAGAAATAAAGTGGAAAAAAGTAAACTTTATCAGCCGAATAACATAAGGAAAAAAAGAACAAACAGACTAATTTGTGAATGAAACCGGTTAACACAAGTTGGAGGAACTAGAAAAAAAAGAATAAATAACATTGAATTACCTGAATTGAGAATATCTACATACGCTGATTTAAGTATAAAAAATCAGTTAAAATGTCGCTTAAACACGAATACAATAAATTGTAACCAGATGCACAATTAAATTAGCTAGAGAAAAGTCTATATGATAATCGTTATCTGTGAAGATTCGTCATTAAGTAGACGGAAATAACAATAAGGAAATGGACGTGAAACAGGGTGTATCTTCCAATAACTGTTATGAGATTTTTGAGATTGACTAAGATTTAAACTGGAAACTACCTATCCCCCCCAAGATAGTTGATTTATGCTAAACAAACAGCACATTGAGACAATCAAAAGTAGACAAATTCTTGTCTCAGATACGTATCACAACACATACATCGGAAGAACAGACATTAAGATTCGTTTTCGCATTACTATGTTATTGGAATTAAGAACAGAGAAAAAACACCTCTTCAGAGGTACAATCACTCGTCATTTCTCAGAGTAAACATGATGTCGTTGTTTACAAGTCAATAAAAAAGACAGTATGTTGATGGCTTGGAACTACTCATGTTTTTGGTAGTATTGTATGCTTTGACCTAAATAGTTTAATTAGAAATCTCTAACTTAATAAAAATAGGTCATTATACTGCAGTTTAAAACAACAACGAAAGCTTTATACTTGAATCACGCAGATTATAAGATTTAACACAACCTACCTAAGCAAAAAATTTTCTCTGCAATGAATATTTTCTTTTGAAGAAATAGATACCCGGAATTTCAGACAAAATTCCTACATAAATTATTTCGTATTACTTCAATGACGAATTTCCATTACTCACATTCATAAAAGATTTTACTTCATACGCATAATATTAAAATCCATCTGGAAATCTCTTTTATCGCTCTCCTTTCCCGAACACTATTAATCCTACATATTTGATTCATTGAGTTATTTCCAAGTGAGGTTATGCAATTCATGACCATAATTTTCTACTTCTACTCACTCCATATATCCATTAGTTCAATCTTATCTTTCTGCAGGTTTAATAAGCGAGGTTTGCTAATTTCTTCACATTTATTAATCATATAGCTGATATCTAGATTATTTTATACTTCAATCAACACTTTCTTGTAAACGTAATATAAAAATTGTGTACGCATTTTTGTTATGTCCAGTAAGTAAAAGCGAAACATGGTATGAAAACATGTTTAGAGCTAGACAATTGTGGAGATGCTTGAGGCAGTGTAACGTACATTGGCAGTAAATCCAATTACTGACTACATACAATTAATGAACTCAATTCACTTGGTATTGTTTGCTTGAATCTTCTCATTGATTTTAAGGACTGTAATTAATCAGTCTCTTGTTGACATATGTGCATCTTGTGTGGGTTGCCTCGATATTACAAGCATTATAAGCAAGGATGAATGGTGGCTAGCAGTGGAAACTTATCAATTGCAGTCCTGAATATCAATCTTAAGATCCAAACGAACAGTACGAAATGAGTTTACACTTCACTCGATTGCACAATCTAGTGGTTATCAGGACTCAGTAGCTAAGTGGATAACATAATGGTGTTTGGGGCGAACGGTACTGGGTTCGAGTCCCAGGGTGAACACCAACTCGGGGATGCAGGTACATCCAGCTGACGAGTCCCGCATAGAACGAAACACGCGTCCTGGACCCCACTGCTAGGCACTATTCATCTTTGCTTAGAATGAACTTAATGTTTGATAGATTTAATTTGAACGAATTAAATACTGATACTAGTAATGGACATTTATTCTGGTGTAAATCGATTATACTGAGTTTTCAAGTAATATCTAGCATAAATAGATCCAATTGTTTAACAAGATTGTCGTTCAAATTAAAGAACATTGTTTTGGAAGCTGACAATTCGGATATACACAACGAAAACAAAACGTGTATATACTAAAGCGAATGCGTAAATTCCAGCTTGGTTGGACAGCTCAATATTGTATATTTTATCTTCCAGTATAATCATTTATCAAGAGAGAGTTGAATGTTAACAGTTAGATAATAGTGAGAAAAACTAAACAATATACATTTCTTTTACACATACTCATCATTTAAGAAGTTTAATGATAAAAAGATTATAGATCGACCAATCAACCAAGTATAATGAAATTTTCATATTAGTCTATATGCAAGTGAGTACATAATTTACTTGGAATTGTAAGACACATTTGTAAACACACGTATAATTCGATGATTACTGACTAATCAGAAGAATTATATACAGAGAAAAACTTTGCTAAACTTGGTATGAAAATCACTTTGAAGAGTAATAAAAAACCGATTCCCTGATTTTTGATCTCAACCAAAACCTGTAGGTGAAAATGACCTATCCAACTAAACCACACTAACGTAATTCCACAACAGTTTATGTTGGATGATTACCAGAAGATGACATAATGCCTTGAACTTTGATTCAAAACTTGTTATCATTCATTATCAAAAATATTCACTAATATTGACAACTATTGCATTACTTAGCATATAAAAGATGAAATAAATGTACCTGCATTAACTACATAACAAGAATGCTTGTCAAAATAAGTTACAGAATAGTATAATGGGAAATTAAAGGAAAAAGAATTACGATATATAATCATCTAAAAGTAAATTAGTTTATGATTTATGCATGAGAAAAACATTTATTAACTGGCCAGTGACTATCGAATAAGAAATGATTCATTAAGTATAAGAAATTTTCAATTGGTTGGAGATTTTATATGCTATAACTTCAAATTAAATACAGCAAACTAATCTCATCTACTTATCTTTTTTAATCATATTATAATCATCATTATCCTAATTTTGTTCGTTTATTTGCTACCCGCCCCCCCCAGGCAGTAGTAATGACTGCCATTTTAACAGATTATATGTAAAGGAACTTTTAAAAAGAGTAAGTAATTATACTAACATTACTAAACAAATTGATAAATTAAAGAAGCGAATATAATTAAGAAAACTACATAAACAGGAAACAAGTTGATAAAATAATAGAAATTTAGAAAATCGATTCCGATCAATAATAGGGATAATTTGTTAAATATCAGCAATTTACACTAAGCATATTTAACATGAACCATAAACTTGATTAGATGAAAGTGATCTGGTGTGAAAATGATATAAACGACTGTAATAAGAGGCGTTATATGATCACACCTAAAAGCAAAATAATGACAAATTATCAGGAAATAGAAATTTAGTTACCAATGAATTAGATAAGAAAATCCGGATTCTCAGTATCAAAATACATTATTTGTGCAATGATATAAATTCACACGGTTGCATGTATGAAAATAGAAAATGTAAACAGAAAGTTCGCTGTTTGAAAACTGACACTACAGTATATAAGAATCAACTTGTATGTACAGTTATGAAATAATCTAGTTTAAGTATGCACCAAGTTATGAACTACAACATTCCTGTGTAAATTAACAATAACGTCTAGTTACACAAGCTCCAGATGGACTTAAGTCTGAATTACGGACCCTAGATCAACAGCCTATAACTTTAACAAGTTACCAAGAACAAAGTGTAGTGCCGATTACTAAGAGGGGTAACAAAATGAACATTAAGCACGAAAAAATAACAACAACAACGGTAGTAAGAGTCAAAATACATGAAGCGTTTAAAAAAAAACAAATAAGATTATGGAATGAAAGGTATGGAAAAATATCATGTTCAAAATTTAAAGGGAGATAAAACATTAATCCAACTATGTTACTAACTTAGAGTTCATAACAATAATACTATGGTTAACGATTATCTAGCAGACCAGTAAACTGACGGTTCGTGCAAACAAAACGACTCAGAATAACACTAAATAATTTTATGGACTCATCCTATGCTTTTTTACCAGGTCCCTCCTGGTCATTATCTGACCCATTTCAATGCTAGTGATCAGTGCGGTGGCTGAGACGGGTGCTACGCATCCCCAAACACCTTGGTCAATGAGGCCTCTCAGACACATCAATTGAACCACCACGTAGCATTTACAGAATGTGGACAGTTCATCAAAGACATCTGTGATCAGGTACTACTAGCATAGTCATGTCCTTTATTTCCAAAGGTTATACTTTACTGTCATTCCGTACTAAAGAGCAAACTAATTAGTACTGTACATTACTTGATAAGCAAACACACAATTACTATGGAGCACACGTGGATTTAATAAAAACTAGGAGAAAGTTTTACGTCTGTTACGAATACTCGTCAATCACTAACTCGAAAAATGTGATAAAACTCGCAAGATAAGTAGGTTGGTTGACAAAATCAAGAACTTCACTATCTACAACCAAACTAATTATTAACCCAGACGATCCTTGAGACATATTTCGAGTTATAAAGAGCCAGACAAATACTTAATATTTTACAATCATACTGAAAGCATTTAGAAGACTTTTATCTCCCTAGTTCAAATCACTAGTGACATCTCAAGAGGGCAGATTAATTTTCGGCAAACCAAATGTAGAAGTGAATAGGTAAAACTAAGGAAACTCAGCAAAAATGAAATCAGTAAAATAACAATAACGTTATAAATGAAATCGAAAACCCTTACGTTTTTATCTAAAGTAGCCTCTACTCGAAGACTACCTACGCTCATAAGAAAATCTCGTGATAATTCAGCTGACGGTTGTTGACCTGGTTCATTAGGTGCATATGTCAATTTACGAACGGCCATACGCACGGAATTCCTAAACCACAATAAACACAAAATGGGAATTAAACGATTCAACTATACAAAAGAAAAGATGTATCAGCGAGAAACAAATTGAGTTATAACTCGATAAATGTGATAAGCAGGAACAAAAATTGAATTCAGTGACGTGGAATAAGCAACACTTGATTATTGGTTACAGCAAATCACTTGTACGACATTACTTATGTGAACAGCAAACATAATATCTAAAAAAGGTTAAGTTCTATTATTTAGTCAACTGATTGAAAGCGTTAATGTAAATTCAGCATACGAATATCAGTTTACTTATTAGACACTTAAATACATAATTGTTCTGTGGCGGGCATTATTAATAGCTCGAGTTCAAGACAGAAACAAGTGGGACGAGTTTTGAACAAGTTATAAACTTGCGGAGTCCTTCAATCAGTGAGCTAATGCTTTACATGTAAATCAGTTTCCATCTGTACGTTTAGATCACTTCTAACTTAATTTTCTTGTCTACAATTACCTTAACATCTTTTATGCCTAAGCTAATCATTATCAGTAAAAAAATTCAAATTACTACATATTCATTTCTTGTCGAGACAACCTAGATCTTTTGCTCTTCTTAACCAATTATGTGAATAAACGTAAAATATAAGGATGAAGTCAGACAAACAAATGAAAGAATGACCTATCTCAATATTACATAAAAAAGACAATATAATTAAACTGTTTACCACACATTTTTGCAGTACCCAATTAATCTAGACGAAATGAACAATCAAAAACATAGAAAATCTCATTTATCAATATCCCTTTATTTAGGAGATCACTGCGTGAAGTAATTGACCTAACTAGCTAAACTAATCTAATGTAACCTAATTAATGGCTGTCAAATGCGAAGTGACTATAGATTTCATATTTAAGCTTACTTATTATATACTGTTGAGACTGGAATGAGTCAACAGTTTCACATAAGATAAATCTTCTGAAACTGCACAAAAACTATTTACAAATTATCTGATGGTGAAAACATCAAACAAAGCATTGTTATGGGTGGAATTAAACAAAACTACAAATCAAGAGTGAACAAACTAACCGATAGAGACTCGAATACACCGCATGAATGTTTTACTGCTTTGGATTAAAGTGACCTACCTACTCGATGAAAATTTGCACAACTTTCTCAACCAGTGATTTAACAAACAAATTATTGAACTAGTCATCTATAAACTTTCTCTTATCTATTTATACTTCTACAAAGCTCACCACTTACGAGAAACTAGATATCATGTAACTTTGCATTACAGGATTTGAGGAAAAACGCTGGTCAAATTACGATTACTGTGAAAGGATTTTTGACTGCAACAATTAACGAGTGAGATTGAGTGCACTAGATCACTGATGACTTCGGCTTTTAGGCTGTGGAAACTTTTTAATAATTAGGTATTAATGGTCCAGTCGGCTTTAATTTACTACGTAATCTAAACGGTTACATAAATTTCCGTAATTCATGAAAGAACTGGTTGAGAAGTCTCAACCCAAATACAAAACTATCAATTGGTACCTAATATCCCTGTACAGTACTTATATTGCATCAAGAGATGTGTTTAATTATCAACAGTTAAGCAAACTGTATAGTACATAAGCAAATAAATAAGGTTTAAACTTAATTAATGCCCTCTCATCACTGCTCACATGAAGTACAAATCTAACTGTAACCACCTTGAAAATATAATATCAGTAGCAGTATGAAATTAAATCCAACCTAAACAAACCATGTTACTAATTCATAATCAGGCACTGTTTTCCAATAAATTCATTTGCTTACTTCAGGCCATTCCCTGGTTTCATTGATTATATTGTTTTAAAGTAAATCAACTTGAATTAATATACTATAGCTCCAGATTCTTCACTACTTAAGTTTGCTAGCATTATTAAGCGAATGTAAAGTAATGCACATTTTAGGAAAACATTATAGACCAATGACAATAAAAGGAATATACTACAGTCATTTACAAACTGAAATTATTCTGTTTCATCCTTATTGAACACTTGACTAGATTTACAGCAAAATAGTTGTTTATTAAGGCTTTAAACCTTTATCACCCGAGGTGACCGGAAAATGTAGCATTCTATGACTGGAAACCATAATAGATACAAATCAAAATCTATTCAATTAGTGGTATATATTTATTGATCCTCCATACTCCTTTTAATTTCGAATCATAATATTGTGACATATCTTTGAATGCTCGATTTTGTTCGCCTATTTGAACAATATTTCTTATTTTTAGGTTTGCAATTTATTTCTTATTTCCTCCCCCTTCTTTGTATCCTATTCAGCCAACTTATCTTGATGTGCTGATTTGAAGTGTAATGACCTGAACTGATACGCAATCAGGCCAGGTTCTATGTTGACTCGACAGAAAGAAGACTTTAGTTGAAAATCAAACAAGATGCATGGATGTGTACATCTTAAAGTGTACTCACAAGAAAAACAACTTAAAATTTGAGTAAAATTTATCAAATAACTTTTTCCCTACCTTTAGGAAATAAAAATAATCATAATCAATAAACGAAATCAGAAAAATATATGCAGCTGATTTTGTGAATAGAAAGAATAGTCTGATTAGAAGAAAGTTACAGACATACAAAAACCTTTTCAAACTACAATACGTAAGAATAGGTGGCTCTTAGCATAAAAATAAATATGTAACATGAAGAATAAAATCTTTATGACACTAAGATTAAATTTACATCATTATTAGAATAGGTTTGAATTATTCTGTTGCTGACATTATTGACCAGACTTTAATGTCTTATTTGGCATATATGCAATCTATCTGCGTTGCCTGGATATAGGTAATGTACAGGATGTACATATACTAACCAAGATTGATCAAAATTCAGTCACTAACGGTGACAGGATAATTCTAATCTGACAGTTTGTATGTTAAAATTATTGTAACATTTAAACCGATATTCAAGTATTATACATATTAACTCTCCTGTGTTTGAAGAGATTACGAGTTCACCTCATCTGAGAACGGAACAAAGACTCTGTGACTCACAATGGATTTATCACTTTAATTTGCCACATCTCTCAAGGAAATCGGAACAAAAAGTTAATAATAGACAAAATAATAAATAGAACTATATGGTGATGACTAAATGTGTAAAAAAAGAACTCAGTAAATAAATGCTTAAGATCTTATATGCAGTGAAGCTTTTTCACTATTTTATCCTGCTTCTCCAACCGCTGATTACTAACATCTAATGAATCTTACACTCCCAGACTAATCAACAAGTGACACATTTCATAGGATTATCATGATCTGATCAATATGGGATAAATACTACTTTACTCTTACCTTAACTAGAGTCTTATACAAGATTAAGCCATGGATCAATACGTCGACCACAAACCACATGTCACTTGATGTATATAAAATTTAAGCATACTGTTACTTTATAACATTTTGGTTACTTTTCACACAAAAATTAGGGAACAATTAGTATCATAACAACTTCCCTATATGTAGTGAATTTACGAAAAAGAGAATATACATATGAGTGATTACTTCCAGAAAAAAAATATCAAAATATAATACACCTTCTTGAGTCTTTCAAAAATAACATGATCCTAACACGCATATACATATTGGTTACTTTCACTAGACAACTGAACAAACGATTATTTCAACTGGAAAATATATATATATACAATAATTTATTTACCTTTTTTGTGGCTTATCATCCTGATCATCAGCTACATACACCTTTAATTCATATTCAACTCGACAACGCTGTAAGAATATTGAGAATATAGGTAGATTTTATGAAGCATATTTACTTTTTTAATGAGATAGTTAGGATTGTATAGTTAAGCTTTATACTGAAGGAATGATGCTAACCATTTTGAAAAGATACACTACTAAATTGTATATGACTTATGTGTCTATCTGTCTAACTTCTTATTAACTGCAAGAAAATAAACAACAGTTAGAAATAACACAACCAACGGATCTCTGGCTTCGATAAATTTTCAATATAAGCGATGTGTAGAGAAGTAAATACCATTTTAACTTCGTACTATTTTCATGAGAACGTCAAATGGCTTTATAACTTGCCAAAACACCAAACAATAGAACAATTTTCGAAAAACTATGATAGTAACAATCACAAGCTCACTAGCAACTGAACTTATGAGGAATTACCAAAGTTGAAGTGATACTTTTGGTCAGTGGAGTTCAACCAAAGTAAGAGTGAAAAATAACACCAATGATGTTGAATGATCGAGCAGTATTCAGAACTAGATGAAATCAGAAATGCAGAGCATTGAATTCTGCATGTAGCCTGATGGTCTTTAGTTCGGTTCTTAGTGAGGTCACAGGTGATCACTACTAGAATTCAAAAACTACTGTCCATTACTCGCTGGTTTTGATGGTTGAAGTTATTTCGTGATATAAATTAACTTTAAATTCTACTGATCCATTTCCACTGAAGGTCCGATGTTTTAAGGCTAACCACATAGATACAGATATACAGTTCAAAAACTTATATGGAACATTAGCCTCATTTACTTATTTACGAAATGGGACAAAACGATATATAAGTGAAATTAAATAATAAAAGGAACTACAATTCTGAAAAAGATCATAGAATAACAAGCAATAAAATATTGATGTAACTCAGTAATCAAGCATAAATTTTCATACTAGGCAGCCACATTTTTCATGTGAGGACTAGAGGTACATGTCGGTTCAAACTAAAGTGCATAGCATATGATCTGAATCTGAAGTCAAATGGTTGGAAAATAAATCCTGAAACAACTGAGTACATTTGTAGTTATGTTGATTTTTTAGACATTTTTTTGTATCTCACAATCTTATCATCAGAAGATCAATCTATTAAGAGTGAACACGTTTATCCGATCACAATCATATTAAGTTAGTTCTATGAAATACTAAAGCCAATCTACAGAAAGTATACGTCACGAACATTTTCAAGGATCATCAGATTATTCGATTTATAAAATTTATGGATTTACAGAATTTATATTAAAACGTGCAAGTAATCCTAAATTAGGTATTAATAGTGCATATCTATTTATTACTGTATCATAAGAGTAACTGTGCCACAGAAAACTGTCTTGAATAAACCTGTAAACTAGGCGGTATTAACTATTCTTATATTAAAAAGTAGTCTGATTCACAAGTCACATGTAACCTCAACTATCCTAGTCAGTGAAACTATACATATTACACCATTTAGTGACATTCAACGACCAAGTCTTCTGGTTTCTATTCTTTCAGAAAAAATCGAAACTTTATGTGCGTGGCCAAAAATATAAAGATCAAATATTTTTCGAATGTATACGTGGTCTAATTTCTTATTCTAAAATAATCATAAACAAAATAAATCCTATAGAAAATCAAAAGACTCAAAATTACTTTTCCACGATCAGACGGATTCAGTAGTATGGACACAGAGGCAGGTGAATAAGCCGGAAGCTACAGGATCAAAACATTTAAAGATATAAACATTAATTTAAAGCACCAAGATTAATAACATAGTTATCGACCTGAAAATGCTCCTTCATAGATCGAAGTGAGTAGGGTATCGGTGAACTTAATTAATATTATGTAACATATCTAATGGAACACGACATTTAAGTTGGAGGAAGAATCCTATTTTCACAGAATTTATTCTCAAAACTGTAAAATCACGGATATATAGTTTACCACAGTGATAACTAGCAATATTTTTGTTGATAACAACAAATTACCAAAAATATCAACGGAGGAACAAAATAGTATTATTCTTACTAAGAAACAGAAAATGTAATTGTCAAGACCTTGGATCTTCATCAAGAATGTTATGATTAGTCATTTCTAGCCTATAGATTCACATAAGATGTCTTAAATCTTAGGTACACAAAGACGGATTAAGTTAAATAAGATCTACTAAAAGGATTAATAAAGCATTTGAGCACACAAACTAAGTTACAGAAAGTAAACAGTTCTACTAATTACTTTATTCTTGGATACTTATAAACCAGTGAATCCCAGTTTATTAACCACTAGAAACGATTGTGAAAGAGAATAAAATATAAACCAGGTATCTGAAAATTCGGTAAGGCATAAATTAACAAGTAGCACACATATCAATGATAAAAGGAAAGTAAAAGTTTTCCAAATGAAATTGCTCGGTGTTGTGTAATTTGCACGGAATGAGACACAATCAGAAAGTAAATTACTGTCCAGTAGTGAAGCGAATATGTCTACAAAAGAATTACATCCTAACTGAGATATAGTACACTGGTGCTATTTAGTTCACCATCCTACTACGGAAGAGCTTCTTGGATGCTTTGATGAAATGAAAGGTTCGGATGTCACATTGTGACATTAAGTGCTCTTTAGTGACCAGTTAACGCATCTAAAACTGTGTGAAAAACAAAACAGCACGAAAATTCAAGTGACTTAAAAAAGGTCTCTGACACAACTAGATGATTGACAACTTCTCAGGAGTAATAAACCCATGTATGTGGCTTTCCGTTAGTTGTTAACAAACAATAAGCATATAGTCACTCTGTATTACACGGTCTGGAAGTTGTCAGACTCGTTAGATTTAGAAACCATTCAAGGCTTTATGAAAGCCAATAGTATAACATTGAGGTCAACATACTAGTCGGTCGAACGAGGATAAAAATGTGAAACCAATAGCTAAAACTTAAAACTGAGACTAAATAAACCCTGTCTATAAGCATTTCAACTATTATAAAGCAATTCGAACTTATGAAACTTAGTTAACTAATAAAAGACCATTAAGATAACAATTACTTACTAACACTAGGAAGATAACTGTGACGTAGTTTCTTTAAAAGACAAAAACACTTGACTCTATGAGTTTTTTAATACATGCAACTAATATCAGCTAAAAGTACCCAAATATGGTTTTGGTTAAATTACCTGGAAGTAAAAAGGAAAAGCATTTGAACCAAGTTTTCGAATTAGACGTTCCTGTAATCGAGTGCGTCCCGGAGGTTCAGTGAACTTGTTTAGTAAATTTGATGACAGCTCAGTAGCGTTTCCATTTTCAGATAAAAGAACTGGTATATGAGACTTCAATACCTTGGAGCCAAATGGTGGATACACTTGTTTAGTCATCAGACAAAGATCTTTATGGTAGTTCAGTCCAAGCAAATCGACTTCATCCCGGCCATACCAGAACGCACCTAAAAGATGTACAAATACCTTTCTATGTTTGACATAGTCCGGATCCACTAATACAACACCCTCTATTAAAAATGAGAATCAAAATAACGTGTGAGAAAATTCAAAACAAACATGAAGTTAAAAGTTGTAAATATGTCTGAACCTAGCTTTACATTTTATAATATATAGAACCAAGTGACAAAATTTTCACAGCAATAAATAATCTGCAAATTGAACACTACAGATATTTTATTAAGTGTGAAACAATAACACGAATGGGAAACATTTTTTGTGTAATAAAGCGAAAAGCGAACCCAGAAGTTAACTAAAAACACAGTCATGTGTAACAAACAAGATACGCTTTGTGTGGGATACCTGAAAAGCCTGATAATCATTGCAAAAACTTTATTTGGTGTCCTAATTTTAATTTTTACGTCAAACCGATTAAGATGCGCGACGTTTTATAATTTGAACAAAAGTAAACTATAACACTATATACAGAACAATGAAGCTACAAAAGAAACCATTATGAACTAAAGAATGACTCGAGAAAACAATCTTCCTGGAAAGATAAAAAGGTTAAGGACAATGTTAATAACAAATAAAAACGCACATACGTGGTTAGAAAAATTATAAGTACTGAATTTCAGTATACTAAACATATTTACAAGAAACTTATACCAATAGCTTATTAAAAATCCACATAATGGTGAAATCATGAGGTTAGACCACAGAAATATGAGCTTTGCTCCCAAAAATTTTAGGAATGAGAATTAGTATGTATATACTTTAAAAAACTGAAGCTTATTATCGATGAACTCATGAATGCAGTTATCTCTAAAGGCTCATAAGTCCAAATGACACAATGAAATGATTAGCAACTATACTTGGGTTTTATAATCTACGAACTAGAAATTTCGATCTGAATGTCTACCTCTGTTTTGTTACTATATGAATATAACCAGCTAGATAAAAATCCAAACCAGAAGACAATGGGCAAGTATTGGCGAAATCAAACTCAACACATCAAACAACACTTACAAACTCCCTACCAAAAACTGAACTGACTAGTAATCAAATGGTGATGGATGCCTTGCTTTAAGTAGTCAATATCTCAATTTATCGGAATTTAACGACATTGAGCCATGAAAAACTACTTCAATGTGAGCCAATTTCAGCACAAATATATGGGCTATCCTCAAAATCAGCCCTAAGAACGTGTAAGGAGCTATGAAGGATACCCTGTCCTTCACAGTCGCGAAGATATCCCATGACAATTTAAAAGTGCAAGTAAACTACAAGTATGTAATTTTTCACATCATCTTTGGTTAACATTTAAATACTCAAAGACTACAGTAGTAAATTTTGAAATGCTAACTATATCTTATAAATACCTCTAAGAACGACTACAAGCTAAAATGGTGGCCATTTTATGTAACCCATATGAAGATTTCAAAAGATATAAAGTGAAGCAACATCCTACCAGGGAAACTAAGTCGTTAGTACAGAAAAAGTTGTTAAAATCTGAGAAATCGGATACCTAGAGAGAAGCCGCAAAGTTTTGCATTTTGGAGATAGTGACAAAAATCATACTTTGCTAAACGTCTGAAAAGGCGATCCAGGAATATTTTCAGCGCGTTTCTCTTCCTCCTAATGCAGACATCTGCATCAGGAATGGTTCGAACCAATGTTAGCTTCCATGCACTTATTCTAGAAAACTTATCAATACAGGTGGTTTGGTAGCTGAAATCTCAATACGGTAACAAAAAGATCGTTGGCATCGGTTGCGTGAGGTTCAGACGAGGTAACTTTTCCAATATATGTATGTTTTATGGCTAAACAGCCACCTAGCTCGGAGCGCTATGGTGGTTGAACTATGCTTAAGAAGTGTAATAGGCATGTAAACTGAGTTTCGTTAATGACAACAAAATATCGGTGTTAAAGTGAGTTCTGTAGAAGATTCAAACTCTAGCTGAAGCCGATACGAAGAGTATAGGCTACGACTAAAGCTAAAAATACATGTACAAGGAGCATATGTACTTATACCTTGAATTGCTTCAAATTGTGTTTTTAGTACTACTGTAACTCTCTAAATCTTAATTTTTTCCACAGCTATGATTTTGAACTGATTCGCTGTTGAAACAAGGAGTGTATACTCTCGTCGTGTGGTGATTTGTTCGGCTAAGTGAAACAGAACACCAAACAGGGTTATGTAATTGTAAGAGTTCCAATAGTAAAACGTACATGTACTACCACAAACACATAAAGCAAACTCAAAACCTATACCAAAAAAGACCAACTAAACACTGCTTCTAGAGTCTGTTGACCTAACCAAGCAATAATGGTTGACTTGTACAAAAGCGCTTTCTAAAACCACTATACAAGCGCAAGGAAATCAACTACGACACGGTAGTTCATTACAAAGACAAATGCATACGTATACTGAAACGCATTGCTACACACATACGCCTTAGGCTATAATAGACAAATTGTAGCTGCTTTTCTCCTTAAAAGAAAACTCTATACGACTTACCTATGGGATCCACGTGAGTTAAATGGTCCATAAAGTCTCTTTTCCCTAGGTAGATTGTCAACTAATCAATAAAAATTGGAGAAGAGGATTTACCTTTCCATTTGGTGTAGACTTTTTAAATATTCTACTTCACAAAAATAAACTGAAAGTGATTTAATTTTACCTGGTTCCGGGTTTGTGGACTTCTGAATTCATTTTTAAAACGTCATTATCCATTAGTTCGACTCAATACGATACTTAGTAAGCCAGTGCATAAGCGACATTGATAAACCAAGCAGTATTTCAAAAATAAATTAGATAATTATCTACAATGTCCGACAGTTTTCATAACTTAAACACCCGGTACCACAATTTTCTAAAGTACCGGTGATTGTAAAACCTAATAAAATGGAGTACTAAAACTATGAAACTGATATCTACAATATCTTTACCACAAGCTTGAATTGATAGATTGGCTTCTTCGCATTTGCTTATTGTTGTTTTGGTACGGCCTATGTATTGGGTAGTAGTTCAAGCACACAACTGCATCAATTCTATTATGTGGTAGTTATTTGTGGGTTCATATGCCTTGAAGTTGAGTGAGTGAGTTTATCTCAAGGGAGTATAGTTTTCGGATACCGTCAGTTATCATGTTATCGAGTAAGAGGTTGGTTAGTTATTATGTAAAAATAACAAAGTTTTGATTCGATTGCTAAGCGAAGATAATTATCTCAAGTATAAATCAACAATTCACCAAGTTGATGTGTATGAAGAGAGAATTGAAAGGATAAGACGTAAAACAGAGATGACAATGAGAGAGATGGGACGTAGTTACTGGTTGTGTGGTAGTCGTAATTGGGGTAATTTATCAAATGCCCACCAGACACAGTTGGTCTAAGAGGGATACGGTAAAGCATGAATCAGTACGCATTTGTCAAGTTTTTTTCTTGAAACTATTGACTGATAGGAATGTGGCTACTTTGGTTGGAAGAGCATTTCAATTGTGACAACCGATAATGAGAAAAATTTAGAGCGTATCAGTGTTCTCTCTTAGATTCGCAATCTTTCGAGGGTTGCCTCGAGGAGCTTGATGATGGTGTTCTGGTAATGTATTTGTGGTTCGATGTGCTCAATATGTTTTACACCATTACTAGGTCCCTTTTTTATTCTCCTGAAGTTCAACAAGAACAGTCTCAGGAGTTAGAGTCTGTTCTCGAAGGATTTATGTTTTAGGTCTTCTACACGCATGGTTATCCATCTCCTTTGAAGAAGAGGTGCGATGATATTGTTGGCTTCTAGGTAGAGCTTAGCATACTTTTCAAACCGTTTAAGGAACAAATATGGGTGGATCGCACCAATTGTCTCTGAATTCGGTGGAAATTTTTGTTAACCTTGACTTCATCTTCCATATAGTTTGAGCTGCTTTCTAAGCTCCCCGTAGTTAAAAAACCGAGACCACACTGAGGAGACGGTGAGGAGCGGATTTCTATTTAGGATGTAGGCGCTTTGTGTCAAATAACGAGTGATGTTCATGACATGATGTTTCGAAAAACTAAGTTTTAACTAATTGTTTACTGTCCATTCCTCTTTTATTGTAAGGACCTTTTGAAACCTGAGTTCTTTTTGCTTTTCATGGACCTCCAAATCTTTTCATCGTTTTCGTAGTTCAGATAATGAGACTTTCCACTCTACCTCCACTCTATTTATCTTAGTGACAAACATGCTGTTCTTCAGGTAATTTTGAAGCCAGGATAAGAGTGATTTGCTAAAACCATCTTTTCAACCTTCGCTATGAGGAGTACAGGTGGTGCTATGTCTAAGGTTTTTGGGAAATTGAGGAATATTGCACGAGTCAGTTTCTTATGGTCACAGAAGGCCGTCTAGACTTCCCATGCTATGAGTGTATTAGACTCACACTACCTGACTTTCCTGCACACATGTCGGGATTTGTGAGGTATATTGTTTTTATCTAATTGTCCCCATTACCTTCGACAGGATTCGGAGCGATGCGACTGGTCTGCAAAAAGCTATGTCACTTCTATCTTTCCCACTAAAGATTGGGGAATGGCCTGCTTCTATTCTCTTAGGAGTTGTAGTGAATCTTGTGATAGCATGAATAGGCTTTCGTACACTGTTTCGGGATGGTAGGTCGGGCGTTGTCACATCCCGGTAACGTTTCTGCGCTCATGGATATTGGTTTCCTTAATACTAACCCGTATGCGAGTTCGATATTTCACAGATTCTCAAATGGCACTAATTTTTAATAGGTTTTTCGCACTTTCAGGCTCATGGTTTAATCGGTCTATGAAATTGGCGTTAGTGAGATTAATGCAATATGGCTGTCCATGATTAAAGGTGCCACAGATAGTTGATGTTTTACAACGCTTTGGTGCGCAACACCCTTGTGATTGGAGGATGCTAAACCAGATATTCCAGGAGTTCTAGTGAGAAGCCGTTACCAGTGGGGGTCAACCAGGTCTGTTTTGAGATATCAACTCACTGAAGACAATGGTGTACGATGGCGCAACTTCGTGGATTGGTTGAAGTTAGATATTAACACCATTGGACGCCGGCTCTGTGGTTTAGTTGCTTAAGCGCCTGGCGCGAGACTGATAGGTCTTGGGTTCGGATCCCGCGGGGTGCGGATCGTGGATGCGCACCGTTGAGGAGTCCCATACTACGACGAAAAGGTTGTCCAGTGCTCCCAGGTTTTCCATGGTGGTCTGGCTTCAATTGACTCATGATTTCAATCTGTCAGACGCTAAACCAGTCAAACCAGAAGTCAGGGCTGAATGAGTTCGACGATATATTTGGGAGTTGTCAATGCGATGAGATGTGTTTTATCTAAGCCGCGTACTTGTTGCAAGGAATGCGTAGCTTGGCGTATCAACTCGCGCTCAGGTGCAGATGCGTGACCGGATGCCCACAGCTAGGATGTACCTAGTAGAATTAATGAGGTCAGTAACAATGTCGAAGACACATGCAACCATCTTCTTGGGGGATTTATTCAACGCTACAGGTCACTCTCCCCTAGTGGAGCAGTGGTGGCCTTAAGACATGGTCGGTCAGAAGATTAAACTTACCGAGCGATCCGTTGGTAAGGTCTCGACTGGTAGCTTGCCAAGTCCAGAAGCAATTAGTTCTCTTTCCCCAGTATAAGGAGCCATGTGGTACAATATAACATTTAAAAATGTACGATGGAAATTTCTATCCATTGTATTCCTCATCACTTTTCCTAGTCATCCTGGAAAAAAATGAAAGTCTAAGTGAGTGATGAAATACATTATTACCCTCTTGAAGATATAAGGCATGCGAGAACCCCAGCACTAATATGAATATATGTCATGTGATAACGTGAAAATGTTTCACACAAAAATTTTATTAGATTTTTAAAAGACGTGTAAGATACATACATGTGTAAGCACATAAGAAAGATAAAACGATATCCTTGTGTTCGATAAGTTAATTTTTTAAAAAAATACGGCCAAATAATTGTAGGACGCAAAAAACTACACAGAAAGTTTTATAATGCCCTACGTGTAGTGGTCTTTTGAGTGTTCAGTGAACCCCACTAGCTTTCAGAGTGAGTTGTTTTTTCTTCCGTCGTAGTTATTGGTTATCGAGAAGGGTATCGTAAATGGAGGCTAGTGTCTTCCGATTATACAGGAGGAAAACCAACGCAAACGGGCTTTTCTTTTGAGTACGTGGCTTTGAGAAGGTCATGGCTGATGCCAGAGTTAGTTCCGTTCTTGTCGGTGATGCAGTACTTATGTGGGCTATGAAGAAAATTAAAGGGTTCCTTGCACGAAAACCAGTGTACTATGTCGTAAGGCAAGTTGTATCAAAATATCAGTCAATTGCGGTTGCGTGGAAACAGGTTTGCCTGAACTTATGGCGTTTATAAGCCCAATTACGCAAAAGTTTAGACTCACATTCATTGAATACGATGAATGATCTACTGATTCTCCTGTAAGTAGAAATGTCTTGCGGCAAACTAGCTTTATTGCATAGTACTCAACTTCAAATTCACTCAATTACAAATACTGAGTCACATAAGTGGAAAAGATCCAGGTCGTCATGATATGCTTGAATCTTAGAGTAAAATAGTCCTATCAACACATTAGCTTGTTGATGATAGACGGTTTTTCTGCATTGTGTGATTCCTATTAGAGTAGAAATAGACATGAAAACTGCAGATTGTTACTAGGGTTTATGGTCTGTAGTAATAGTTTTAGGGTAGCTTAAGTTTTCTGCCTATCAATGGACGAAAACGTAAACCACCGTTTTCGTCGTAATATGTTTAATAGGTACTTCTTCTGGCCATCGTGTGAAATGATCCACGCATGTTGAAAGATAATATTATTCCTTTGAGCCTGGTCAGAGTCCTACTAAGTCAAGATGAATGTGGTCTAAACGAGCGTCATGTGTAACAAAAGAGCCAAGGGATATTTACTGTGATTAATCAACTCATATTTTTGTCAGGCGCACAGGAGCGCCTAGTAGATTGATTATTTTGTCTTTTTGATCACAGACGTCTTAACACTAGTTTGCATTTTTGGAGAATTATTTTAGCATATGCTTACTATTATCGTTAATGTTCATTTAATGCATCCCGACACATCATTCGAGTGACGTGTTCTGACCAAAGCCATTCGAGCCCAACATACTGAGAGGCATCACTAGAAGTAACCCGCTAATGATATGGACAATCTCACCGGTTATTGTACGGCTTAATAGCTGGAAGGCGTTAGTCCCAGCTTTTCGTTAAAGAACTAATAAACAATGGACTTTATAGAGTACCGGTAAGTCTATCGATAAGTATAGGCTAGCACTACTGTTTACCTTTCTCTAGACATTCAACTGAAGAAATCTGCAAAATTTAAACTGCCTTCCTTGAGAATATTGAGTGTGCGTTAGCAACAAAGTGGTTGCGGATGATCAAATAAACCTCTAAATACATGTACAAATGCATGTTCTGTTAGTGATAGGTCAGCGAATTCTATTGGTCACCTTTCATGAATATACGAAGCTATGCAACAAAAATAGACAGCATGAAGTTCCATGGAATTTCATTCGCACATGCTTATTTTGATCCAATTCAAAAATAAAAGTGACAAATGAGAAGTTTCCACTCATAAAAATGATAGTGTTCCTCATACAGTAACTTCATCCAAACTAAAATACATCCGATCTATTCTAAGTAATTTGCGGAAAACATAGCAATTGAAAAGAACTTC